GTATACTTCATTGGCAAATAACCATTATATAAAGCACTGGCCAAAGCTTTGTCTTATCAAGGTTTGCAAAACTTGTTAAAGCTGTTTTGTAGATGACCTCAAGACATTATTTCATCAACTACTTTAAATTCAAATAAAGCATGTTATCCAGAAGCTCATTGTTTTTACCTGAGTGTAAAGAAGTGCCCACTTTAGTCGTACTTGATCATCTACATGCTCCTCCAATCCTTTTACAAATTTTTCAGCAATCTCAGGCATGCGATAGAGTGAATGGGATCTTATGCCCCATCTAAGGTCCTTTTGGAATACTGCCTGGTCACATTCTGTAAATCAGTAGCATATAGTATGATATAGCATAGTATAGTACAATGCAGTATAGTACAGTATAGTACAATGCAGTATAGTACAGTATAGTACAGTATTGTAGTCTGGCTGGGGCCTTTTCATCTCTTCTTTTTGAACAACTGGAGGTTTGTTAGATATCAAATCTCTTTTAACTAAGAACAACATACATAATACAAATAACATTCAATAAATCTAAAAGCAACATCAAAAATGAATCCCTGGAAGCAAGAAAAATGCACTACAGAAACACTAGCCTTCACAAAATTGGGGTTAAGAGTACATAGTACATGTCGGTATGTCCAGAAAGCAAACGAACACGTACTGAGTAAATTCGGCTGATCCCCTTTCTTGAGTATGTAGCCTGCCTTGTTTATCAGCTCTCCGAAGAGGGAGTCGTCCTTCAGTTCATCATCCTCTTTCTTGCTTTGGCTCTTCTTCGTCTTCTTGGGCGGGCTGAGGAAGAGGTCCTCGCTGTCTTCCTTTTGCAGGCTGACGTTAGGTTTCCGTTTTGATTTCAACGACATTTTCTCTTCTTCTCACTTCCTGTGGAGAAAATTTGACCATCCATAATTGTGAGAGTATTCTAACAAGTACGTAACATATATAAATTAGTATTAGATAATTTCTTGAAACAGACCCTTCATGAAATTAGTCCTTTGATCTATCTAAAGCCTTCTCAACTTATGATACATAGGGTAGAGTTATGATGCATATCATATACAACTATGACCTTTAACCCAATGAAATGTCTTTGCACATAGACACTCTGCAAGTGCTTAGCCACAAAGTAGTCAATGAGTAGACCTTGGGACCCAACCTGATTTCACCTTTCCTTGAGTTTGCGAAAAAATGATTTTTTTACTAATGTTATCACTATCAATGTTTTTATTTTTATTGAAAACAATATAATTGATAGCATTGTTGACATTACAAACAGCAACATTAGATATCAGAAAATATTATCGAAAAACAAGGAAAAGGGTAAAAAGTTGAGGCTGGTAGTACTCATAATTTGCTCATTGGTGACTTAAGACTTGTTGAGATATCTATGTGTAAAAACAGTTAATACATCAAACTCATGGTGGGCATGGCATATTGTAGATGCCATCCCCAACAGCTTCATGTTAATGGATACCCTGCAATCTTATGTCCATCACTGACCTATGTGCCACTGGCATTCAGGCAAATCTTAAGATGCTTTTTAACACAATTCTGTCACAAACTGTAAATAATGAAGTCCCTTTATATCATAAATAACATAACCAACTGTGGGAGTGTTAAGTTGTCATTGTAACAGCTTTTGTCATATCCTATTTTCTTTATTTCTGACGTTATTCTTTGCCTGCACAGATTATTTCAAATATGAGTGAGTGTAGCTTTTTCCTTTCTCTATGATAGTGTTTTTTTGTAGATACATACCAGAGCATTTTGAGTTGCCCAACTTCATTATCAATTTGTCTTAATTTCTGTTGATCTATCCAATTCAGGCGAAATTTACCTTGCATAATATGGTTGTGGAAAATGCAAACTATATCCATACTTTTAGGACTAGTCCAATAGTCTAATGAATAAAATCAATTACGGAAGAATAATCCCTCATATCATAGGCGGAATATCAATAACAGAATAATGCCTCAAGTTACATATGAAAAACAGATAAAGAATATCTTTTCTTCGTGGAAATATAGAGCTGTCAAAATAAGAAGTCAAATTATATGTCAGTTTTAGCAGGACATATCTAATATATTCCGTTAATATAAAACCAAATTTGATTTTAATTGCATACACGACCTACAACCTACAGGACAGAGGAGTAAATAACCAAAAATTTACACAACTACTCTAACGACAAAACAAAACGTAATATTTTACTTGTTAGGACCACTGACTAGGAAAGTCCTCTGGTGTAAATATTAACAAAATTCTTGCAAAACTATTGACGAATGACAACCTAAAACTCCCTCTTCGTCGAGTATTACACGTACCTATCAAAAACACTATTTGTTGTAACAGTTAACTTACAAAAATGTTAAGGAAATCTCATGCGACCGTTGGCGATCCACTTAACAAGTTTGCGCGCGTTTGTCGTCTGTGTGTTTACGTCGGGCGCTGCCAGCTGGCGCGCGGCTCCTCTGCGGCGGGACATTTGAAAGGGATTCCAGGGGTGTGGGAGATATGGGTACTGCATATGTGTATGTGTGTATGTATGTATATGTATATGTATATGTATATGTATATGTATATGTATATGTATATGTATATGTATATGTATATATATATATATATATATATATATATAAATATACATATGTATATATATACATATGTATATATGTGTGTGTGTGTGTGTGTGTGTGTGTGTGTGTGTGCGTGCGTGCGTGCGTGTGTTTGTGTGTATATGTGTTGTATGTGCATAGATAAATACATACATACATATATATATATATATATATATATATATATATATATATATATATATATATATATACATGTGTATATATAAATATGTGTAAATATATTTTTTTCTTTTTTCCTTTTTTTCTTATCTTCGTGCCATCACCGATGCGGTGTATGACGAAATGACTGGGGCCATGTTGACATAATGTTGTTGTTGTCTTTATGATCCTCCGCTTGGAAAGTAGTCGCTTATGTAATCATTATTGTTAGTGATTCTCAACTCACCATCGCATCTGTGATAGACTCACCTACTACTGTCTCTAGATTTGATTTACTCAAAATTATGCAATGGCGCCAGTTCATGAAACACCGCACGTGTGTGTGTGTGTGTATATATAGATATATATATATATAGCGAGAGAGAGGGAGAAGAAGAGAGAGATAAGGAGGGAGACAGAGAGAGAGAGAGAGAGAGAGATATTGAGAAAGAGAGGGATAGAGAGAGAGAGATGAGAGAGAGAGAGAGAGCAGAGAGAGAGAGAGAAGAGAGAGAGATAGAGAAAGAGAGGGAGAGAGAGATGAGAGAGACAGGGATGATAGAGAAGAGAGAGGAGAGAGAGGAGACAGAGAGAGAGCGAGGGCGAGAGAGACAGAAGAGAGAGAAGAGAGAGATAGAGAGGAGAGCGAGGAGGCGAGAAGAGGAGATAGAGAGAGATATATATAGATATATATATATATATATATATAGATATATATATATATATATATATATATATATGCATATATATATATGCATATATATATATATATATATATATATATATATATATATATATATATATATATATATATATATATATATATATATATATATATATTATATATATATATATCCCCTTGGTGCCGGGTATGACGTGTACGTACGTGCTATGCCCACAGTGAGTACTTGTTTGTTTTTACGCATAGATGGCAACACTTGTACTAAATCACCAATGAGCCAGTTACGAGCACCGCCCGTCTCGCCCGTTTATCCGTTTCTTTGATTTACAAAATATTTTATGTAATCTTATTTTGCTGTTACTAATGTTAAAAAAAAATATGAAAATTATAATGTTTATGATAAAAATAACACCATCGATTTTCATAGCACCTAGTGAAAAATACGTTTTTCCCGCCATTTAAATCAGGCGCTAGCAGAGCCATCTATCGGCAGACATTTCACGAAAAACATAGAAAGTGGGCACAATATTTTCCCCATTTTTTGTTCATTTTCCCCGGCACCATTGGGTTAAATATATATATATATATATATATATATATATATATATATATATATATATATATATATATATATATATATGCATATATATATATATATATATATGCATATATATATATATATATATATATATATATATATATATATATATATATATATATATATATACATATATATGCATATATATATATATATATATATATATATATATATATATATATATACATATATATATATACATATATATATATATATCATATATATATATATATATATATATATATACATATATATATATATATATATATATATATATATATATATATATATATATATATATATATGATGTAGGTTTCTGGCAAAATATTTTGGTGGTGGACAAAAATTGATTTTCCTCCCAAGAGGCATACCTTTTACAAACTTTTTTATTATGTTTCCAAAATCTACATAGAACAATCATGTAGTAGACCAAAAGGTAGCTTGGGGTCTTAACTCCTTCGTACTCAAATTGGGTTGGAAAATCTGACCATTTTTCGAATTCGCAACCTTCTGTGTAATGGTTTCTATAACACTACCCATCCTTGCAGAGTACATGTATCATTGGAATTTAGCTTGAAATCACAAATATTGGCTTTCATCATATTATATAGCAAATTTCTTCAAAGTTTTATTAATTGTTTGAAAAATTATGTTTGGTAAAAAACGTCACTGAGCATGCTCCAGTAGATTATTCCCACAAGTGGTGCAAAGGATGCTTTGGTACATACTAGCAATCAAATGAAAATCAGTTGTCTGTAGGACCTGAAGTTATCACAAAACTTCTAGAAGACATCAACAATAAGGTAAGCAACTCATTTCCCTTTTGTCTTTGATAATGGAGGATTAATGCTCAAGTGTCTTTAAGACTCTCCTAACGGAAACATAGAGTCTTTTTAAGAGATACCTGTAACTCCTTGTGTATGGCTGTACTACAGTGTTATGTGCTTAATTGCCTATAAAAGTAATTTTAGTTTTTTCCAATAAATCCAAATGGATCAACTCTTACTAAGATTAATCATCAAATTTCATTATTTGAAATTGAATTTGTGTCGTCTTCATAACAGATCTGGAATATTTTCAGAAAGTGTCCGCAGTTATTATGGAAAAGATGCAACAATGTTCTGTTGGCCTTGAAAGAGATGATGAATGCCACAAGAAATCTTTTACTTCACGTGTTGGTTTGATGAATGCTGCTGAACTGGATGATGAAGAAAAAGAGTTGATTGCCTTAAGAGCAGAAATGAAGAATTCCATAGATACAGCTTGTTTTCACCACAAACAGTTTTATCTGGTGAAGTTTATGACCTACCAGGATAGATGCTGTGACCCTTTTCATTCACACAAAAAACCTGTTCATGGTTAGAGTTGCTACTTGCATGTTATACATTTCATTACTAATATCTAAACACATTGTCTAGACACAGGCCAATTTTAGAGCAAAAGAGAAATGAAATTACTTGTTGGAAATCTGTTTATATGAAAACATCTTAGCAAGCCCAAAACTTAGTGATATCATCAGAACAAAATGTAATGGCTAAAACTTAAAGGGAATATGCACTGGTAAATATAGAAAATATTGACAAATTTTGCTTAGTTGACTAATAATTAGAAAATCAAGTATTTCTTAATTTATTTTCAGGTTCTTTACGATTAATAAAGATGGAACTTGTGAAGTCAGCACAGCGACTCCAATTGCATTTGATTCCTGGAAAAAAGTTATGTCCCACATGCCGCAAAACACTATCAGCCATTGAGGCAAGTCGGAATGATAGCACAGAGGAAGACTCCAGTGACGAAATGCTATTTGTGGAAGAATCTGTTTCGCGTGATGAAGATAGGGATCAGTTGTAGGATTTGTTTTCCTCCATTGGAGTGTCCCCAATAAAAGTACATGGGAAGCCGGAAACAGCCAGAATTAGCAGCAGCAAAAGGAAGATCGGTAGTGTTGTAGAAACCATTACAAAGAAGGTTGCGAGTTCGATCAATGTTCCTGTTGAACAACTTAAATCCTCCCCGGATGCAAAAAGCGACAAAGCTCTTTCAGAAAATGCAAGATGTTTTGATGAAATGATGAGTCGTCTTCGTGAAAAGATCTTTTCCTTGACATCATCGAGGGCAAAACTTCAAATCTTGACCTTGTGTCCATCAAACTGGACAGTCAAACAGTGTGCTGAATATTTTAAAGTTTCAGAGTATCTTGTACGTACTGCTCGAAAACTTGCAAATGAAAAAGGCATTCTGTCACTTCCAGACCCCAAAATGGGTAGAGGGCTCTCCCAAGTTACTAGAGATTTGGTACTCCAATTTTACCATGACGAAGAGCACACCAGGGAAATGTCAAAAAGATTTTGTAAGCATTGGTCGCAATATACATAAACAAAAGCGACTTATTCTTTGTAACTTAAAGGAACTATTTAGCTCTTTAAGGGAAAAGTTCCCAGAAGTAAAGATAGGGTTTTCGAAATTTTGTTCTCTGAGACCCAAGTGGTGCATTTTGCCAGGTGCTGCTGGAACACATTCAGTATGTGTTTGTATCATACATCAAAATGCCAAGCTACTTCTTTCTCCTATTGGGGCTAATTACAAAGAATTAACAAAGTTTCTGGTTTGTGACATTGATAACAAAGAGTGCATGGTACAACATTGTCCAAATTGTCCAAAGTCAACAGAAATTTTCCAGCATAAGTTGTACGAAATTTTAGAAAATGAGGGATATGCTGAGGATGACACCATTGAATTTCAGCAGTGGACAAATACTGACCGTGCAACAATGGTAAGACAAACAGAGTATGTATACAATTATGTGGACATTGTTGAGACCCAACTTCAGAAGCTCACTTCTCATTCATTTATCGCCAAGGCTCAGAGCAGATATCTGAAGTCCAGAAAAGCTGATATGGATTCTTCCACTGCATTAATACTAGGTGATTTTGCCGAAAATTATAAGTTTATGGTGCAAGATGAAGTTCAGGGCTTTCACTGGAATAACTGTTCATGCACTCTTCATCCTGTTGTGGTATACTACAAGGAAGGCTCTGAATTACAGCATATGTCCTTTTGTATCATCACAGATGACTTGAGCCATGATGTTCCAACTGTCTATGAAGTCCAAAGGGCAGTTCTGAATTTTATAAAAAGGAAAATTGTTCACCTAACCAGTGTCGAATATTTCTCAGACAGGTGCAGTGGGCAATACAAAAACAGAAAAAACTTTCTGAATCTTTGCTACCAGGAGCAAGATCACTCTTTGAAAGCATCATGGACCTTCTTTGCCACCAGTCATGGGAAGCAGCCATGTGATGGCATTGGAGGGACGGTAAAGAGGCTTGTTTCTAGGGAAAGTTTAAAGAGAGTTTTTGACAAGCAAATTCTCTCTACATCAGCAATGTTCTCCTATTGCAAGGAGAACATAAAGGAAATTATTTTTTTCTTTATAACAAAAGAGCAAATAAGTGTGACAAGAAATGCCCTTAACAAAAGATTTGAAGGAACTGTCCCTGTTCCGGGAACAAGAAGCTTCCACCAATTTTACCATATTGGTGGCACAAAATTAGCCGTAAAGAGATGCAGTGAAGACCAGACCTACGTTCTACAACATGATGTTTTGGGTCAAACAAATATCGCAATGCTTGACTTTGAAATATTTCAATATGTTGCATGTATGTATGAAGGGAAATGGTATGTTGGAATTGTAATGGAAGTAAATCAAGAACTGAATGACATTTATGTTAAATTTATGCACCCAAGTGGGCCAGCAAGGTCCTTCAATTGGCCCAATGTTGAAGATTGTAACTGGATTCCAATGGTACATGTTCTCTGCAAGATTGGTGTTCCAACAACAGTGAATGGAAGACAGTACAATTTAGAAAAGAAAGATGTTTCAAACATAGCTAAACTTTTTACTACTTTTCAGAATTAAATTTTCAGTTTATGTTTTGAAACATTTTCCATGCCAGCACCAAGATAGATCATAATTTGTCCTTTACATGACATCACCAGCTGTACTCTGCACTGTCATCTTTAAAAGCACATTAAAACATACAATTATAACATTGCACATGTGAATTGAAAATATAATTTTGGGAAAATGTTGCATGCATGCAGGCATTTGATATGAAAAATGGTCAGATTTTCCAACCCAATTTGAGTAGGAAGGAGTTAAGACCCCAAGCTACCTTTTGGTCTACTACATGATTGTTCTATGTAGATTTTGGAAACATAATAAAAAAGTTTGTAAAAGGTATGCCTCTTGGGGGGAAAATCAATTTTTGACCACCACCAAAATATTTTGCCAGAAACCTACATCAGTTTATTGTAAGGTGGCATTGTCCTGGTGCTAGATATGACTTTCTAAGTGTTATTTTTGAATTCTACATGCCTGAAAAAGTGCTTGTTTTCCTCCATGTATCTCTTTCCAGTGAGGTTTAAAATAACTTTAACTTGTTCGTCAAAGATGTCATCGCTAACCCTAAGCTTTTGGGGGGTATTTTCAAAAAATGAAATGGTCCATAAAACCCAAACTAGATGGAATTTCTCAAAAAAATTCGACATTCTTCTCTAGCTCATAGATCTTTATCAGTAAACCAAATTTGAGGCTATTCTGAGGGGTGGGGTTAAATGGTGATGATGATTTGATATGGAATGACCCTTAAGGCTACAGTACCGGCACTCTGGTGGCCCCATTACCCTAGACAAGTACTAAATTGGTCAAAATGGCCAGGGCTAGCCTTTAATATATATTAATTGTATGTGTATAAACACGCACATATACACACACATACATATACATAAATACATACATGTATACGCATATACATACAAAGATACATACCTATATAAATATAGTGAGAGATGATTATACGACAGATAACAAATGACAAGTTTTTTAAAAAGTGTTTGGAATATATACCATAAACCCATGGGAAATAAACAAACGGATTCGCGAGTACTGAAATGTATCGTCATGGAGATATCGAGGTAAAAAAGAGAAAATATAATCGTAGTGAAAGTAACTAAACGTCTTTGGGCGGGTTGAAAGTATAACAAACTGCTGCGTCAGTAGTGATATACCTACGAGGCAAAGAGATGAAGATATGTCAAACATGGTGATGCAATGCGAGACCCCCGAAGCTAAGCAATTAAATATAATGAATTATCATTTTGATATATACATATCACTTTGATACCAACTTTAATAACAGCTATTGCACTTATTTACTTCAAGTAATTAAAATATTACCGAATATGAATGTGAATATGAAAAAAGTAATTTCCTTTCTTAAATATTTAAATATCTTACAATACTGAAAAGCTTTGTCGGTAACATTAATTACTACAGAAGAACATTAAAAACCAATATTTCTGAGCACAAGGACAAAAAATAAAGCAAAAAATAACACTATCAAAAAACTTTTCTATAGGAAAGATGCACATGTGTTTGCTGGCAATTTCCCGTTCATTATCGCCAGCCAGGAAACCCCTGACGCAACAGTAACCTCATTTGTCATCAGACCATATAGTATTAAGCTACGGAACATATAACACCAAAAAAGCACAACAAACTTTCCAATGAACAACATAACTCAACATCCATAAAACTATAATGATCTACCTTAATGATAATTATGATATTAGAAGTTACCTCTCTCCACGAAAGAGAAAAGAGTTCTCCCTCCGCAACCCTCCCCCTCCGGCATTGCACCTTGTGTTGTTGTGCGGTTGACGTCCGAGCTCGAGGGTCCCGGCAAGTCCTCGTGTGTCTGAGGTCCTGTGAGGTGACAGATTGTTGTGGAATTATGGCGGATCAACCCACTCAGGACCCTGCAGCTGCTGCGGAGGGGGAAGGGAAGCCCAAGACGGCGAAGCAGCTGGAGAAGGAGGCCAAGAAAGCCGCCAAGTTAGCGAAATTCGCGGAGAAGCAAGCTAAGGCCGCCGAGAAGAAATCGGACGGGCCGAAACAGGAGAAAAAACCGAAGAAAGTTGAGGAAGTAGGTGGTTTCTTTTACTGTCATTCAGGGATTATTGACTCAAGGTATCTTCCCAATCTCTTCAGTAACTTGATAGAGGAATGACACGTTTGGTTAGCTTTTTGGCCGTAACGTCAGGCGGTCACTCGTAAGGGAGGGTGACCTTTCGAAAGTTCAGTCTCCTCATGAGAATTTTAAGAGATTTGCCTGAAACGGAATGCTTTGGGCCAGAGTCTTTATGAATATTGATAAGTTTGATTATCGTCAGGGTTTTTAGCGATTCATATATCTCTTGAAGCAAATATATTGTCACAGTATGTGGGCAATATGGCAGTGTTTGTGGGCATGATGGAGTGGGAAGTTTTCAGGTGAATATAATTATCAAATTAAAAATATGGGTAAATATTCCGATAACCTATGTGCACCTGATCAGCGATGTTGGTACTGATGGATTCCTCTCGGAAATTTTTTTGATTTCATGCCTCCATCCATCCCTTCAATTATTATTCCTTGTTCCAGTTATTCACATGTTATTATGCATGAAACATTTGTTATTTTCCATCACAAATGGTATAAATGAAAATATTCGTAACTGTTTACGAAGTGATCTCGCCCCTTGCCTTCCTACTAGCCTTCCCAACCCCTAGACCCCCTGTTTGCCGAATTTCCGGTTAATTTTCCGAATTTCCTTATTAGGGCTTAGGTGTCATCTACTTACTCTCTGTGAATGCTAGTCACTACGGCCCTCAACCACTACGGCCCCAGTCACTTCGGTCTCTGACCCCAGTCACTACGGCACCAACCCCTAGTCACTTCGGCCGACTCAGACCAACCACCCTAGTCACTTTGGCCATCATTAGAAAGTATTTTTAATGAAAACTGGTATTCTTTCCTGCTTGCATTAATAGGAAATAATTACAGTAAGACATGTTGATAAAAGAAAATATATTTAACACAGAAATAGCTACATAACCAGAATGTATATGGTTCATACAAACTGTACAAATCCTAGTCGTACAACACATATAAGGGAATCATATTAATTTTTACATAACTTCGAACATGCTTTTAAGAGGTGATTGGTGGTTATTTCATGGTCTTCATACCGTTTCCATGGGGTAAATATATTACCTTGGACTGTTCTAAACTGACGGCGCTGGCGACATGTGTGTTTACCATCCTTGACAAGACGGACCTGTACAGTTTCATTTTTTGCTTCTTTGTACAGTAATGGCACTAAAACATAAAATGGAACATGAGAGCTGCCTGCCATACCATTCAACTTTCTGTGGTATCCCTCTACGTCATTGTTAGTCCGGATACTCTGCCCGAATACAGTCCAGTCACTTGGCGCCCAGAATCCATTGATCCAAGTTTCTTTAATATATTCCATTAGAATTTGAAGTGGTCCAGGAGGCACTCGTAATTCAATCTGTTCAAATGTTGTTTTTATGTGTTCTTCAGGGAGGAAAGGAAGTGTCATGAGCGAAGCAGACGAATATTAACCCGTCACCCAAAAATAGAGGCTCGGAACAGCGTTCCCAACGTATACAATTGTCGTCTCCTATGCGAACATTTGAAGCGCGGGAATACACCCCGTGGATTTACAGTTCGCAGTTCGGACGTATGCGAACAAAATGTTCGCAAGATCACCAAAACGCACAAATATCTTAAATTTTACTTTAAGAATCGTTAGAATATGTATAAATCTTCCTTAAACACTAATTTTCAATTCAATATGTGTTTTATGATATTTATTATTTGCATAAACACACATAATACCTTAGAAAAGGGAAAACAAATTTGAAAATTATAAACCTATTTTTTTTTTAGTTACCCCTCAATTAAGCAGCATTTTCTCTTAGTCATTCCGAGAAAATGGTTTTGCGAACTGCTTCGTGCGAACAGGACGGGAATGTTGGCTCGGAACTAAGTGTATGATTGCTAGTGATCGTGATAATATCATCTATTATTCTCTAATAAACAGAGAGAGAGAGAGAGAGAGACCACATGTCAATCTCTCTCTCTCTCTCTGAGGCCTGGATGAAATATTCAGGAGGAGTTGGACTGAGACAAACAACACAAATATACAAACAAGTGTCTTATTGAATTCTTTAGAAATATACATAGACAACATATGATTTATACACTTTTGGTAATATATACATTTATGATTCTATATTCCTTTCCTTGGTCATGAAATGACACGTGGTTTCTCTCTCTCTCACTGTAGTTCTTATATTTAAGTTAACATCTTGGGAGGCTGTAGTGCCTGGGGCCGCAGTGACTAGGGTTGAAGGTGAGAGAGGCCGTAGTAACTAGGGCCGTAGTGACTAGGGCCGAAGTGACTGGGGCCGTAGTGGTTGAGGGCCGTAGTGACTGGTTCCCCTCTCTGTGTGGCATTAATCATTTCGTATTTCCTTCGTTTCTGGTGTTATTCTTTGCCTCTTCAGATTATTTCAAATAATGGAGAGTGTAGTTTTTCCCTTTCTTTATGGCAGTGTCATTACATTTTCCTGCAGATTTATACCAAAGTAGTATGTGTTGCACAACTTTATCAACAACTTGAGGGAAATATCATTGAGGGAAGAATGTCTTATTTTTGGTCCTTCTGTCCATTACAGGCACAATTTATCTTGTGTCATAAGTCATTTTGTAAACTGAAGCTATACATTCCTCTCATTCTCTACTACTCACATATAGGAATTATGTTGCAGAATCCCCCTCCCCCCCTATACCCCACAATAAGCCCCAATAGTAGGGCAAGGCATCAAGGTTATGAAGAATATTGTGGGATAAGATATGAAAGAATTATACGAAGTAGGTATTAAAAGTCCAATGCAGGAGGCTGTGCTCTTGCCTCCAACCCCAGCCCTGGCAGAAAAAGTATCCTACACTTTTGTACTATAGGATTGATAGTCAAGTAGTCTAAGGATGTAACTAGAATAAATAC